AGGCTTTTCCACCTTTACGTGGAAAGACCTATTGATTTTGTTTTGATTATTAGGTCTTTCCACTTTTCCGTGGAAAGACCTATTGATTTTATTCTGATTATTATTATTATTTTTTTTTTCTTCCGCCTAATTTTTTTCTTGCGTAGTATTGTTTTATCATAAGATGTCGCTTAGATATTTGGTATGTGATATCGAACAGTTTATACGCTTTTGAAACTGACAACCGCTTAACCGAATACTTTACGTTGTAAGAGTTATCTCCCCAAACACTGTTTTTCTTGTGGCCACTACTCCTTCGCAACCGTAAAAGATTACGACAAATTTATTTTACCAAATTGCTCGCTATATCTTTAGGATGTTGAGAGTTTGGTTTTCACCGAAGCGTTCCGGAGACTCCATATGAGAGTTATTTCCCCTTATGCATTTGATATAAGTGATATGCATTTCTAACTGGTAAACCATAAGTGATAGAGACCTAGGGTCTTTTGATTTGAGGTCCTTTGTCCAAAAAAAAAGAAAATTTGGTCAAGGTCAAACGTCATGGTCATATTCTGAATTTTGATTTTGGCTTATTTTCACTCCGTATAAGATATCGACAACATATTATTACTAAATTGTTAGTTGCGACATGTCGTAACACATACATTTTGGTTAAAGGGTGCGCTAACATTAAATTAGAGTTTTCTCCCCTCTTGTATTTAAAAATACGCGTATGGTGATATAACTCATTAACCATATATAACTAAGACCTAGGGTCTTTTGATTTGAGGTCATTGGTTTATGACCTTGAAATTGAGCTCAAGGTCATAGGTAAATTTGACGTTCTAGATTTTGACCTCTGCTTTTACCTCATATGTACACATGATAAAGCCATGGGACTTTTTGCATTAGGTTGCAAGCCATTTGACCTTGAAAAATCCAACCGGAAGTGACCTTGTGTAAACCGGAAGTAGCTATTTTTTGTACTTATTTAATATAAAAGTATATAGAACCATATATTTTTGGAATCAGTGTCAAGTAAACATTCAAATTATACCGAAAGTAACATGTTTCAAACCGGAAGTAACAAATTATCTCCCTTATTTAATAACAAATGTATAGAAACCATATATATTTGGAATCAGTGTACAATAAGCTATCATTTGACGCTGGAAATGACATTTTAAACCGAATTTTAATATTTTTATATCAAAATAGATCTTTATGGGTGGAAAGACCTTCAATTGTTCTCTGAACAATTGGTTTTTAATTATTATTATTTTTTTTTTCTTCCGCCTAATTTTTCTTCTTGCGTAGTATTGTTGTTTCATAAGATGTCGCTTAGATATTTGGAATATGATATCGTATAGTTTATATGCTTTAAAAATTGACAACTGCTAAACCGAACACTTTACGTTGTAAGAGTTATCTCCCCTAACACTGTTTTTCTTGTGACCACTACTCCTTCCCAACCATAAAAGATGACGACAAATTTATTTTACAAAATTGCTCGTTACATCTTCAGGATTAGGATATTTATTTAGACATAAGCTTTCCGGCGACTCCATATGAGAGTTATTTCCCCTTATGCATTTTATATATTAAGTAATATGCATTTCTAACTGGTAAACCATAAGTGATAGAGACATAGGGTCTTTTGATCTAAGGTCCTTGGTCCAAAAAAATTAAAATTAGGTCAAGGTCAAAGGTCAAGGTCATATTATAAATTTTGATTTTGGCTTATTTTTCACTTATTTTCAAAAACCGTATTACATCTCGACAAATTATTTTTACTAAATTGTTAGTTGCGACATGTCGTAACTTAAAAATTTTAGTTGAAAGGGTGCGTAGACAATAAATGGGAGTTTTCGCCCATCTTATATTTAGAATTATGCGTAAAGTGATATAACTCATTAACCATACATATTAAAGACCTAGGGTCTTTTGATTCGAGGTCCTTGGTTTGTGACCTTGAAATTGAGGTCAAGGTCATAGGTTAATAGGACGTTTTAGATTTTGACCTTTGCTTTAAATTCATTTTTTATACATAATAAAACCATAGGAACTGACATTTTAGACTGATTTTTAATATTTTAATATCAAAATAGATCTTTACTTGTGGAAAGACCTTCAATTGTTCTCTGAACAATTGGTTTTTAATTGTTTATGGATTCGTATTCTCTCTTTTTATTTAATTTCACCGGTAATAATTAAACTCGCCACAGACAAAACGGATAAGCGTTTACTTGTATTGTTTTTTTTCTCAAAACGACATGTAATCTTTATCACACTTTGTATTCATGTCTTGTTTTTTTTAATGCTTCAATCATGATTCTATTTATCGTTATGGAACACATCTGCCAAAAAAGACAACGGATATATATCATTAGGGAAAGCAATTTTCACGTCCTCTTTTATTTTTCTGTTATGACATCACCGACATTGTCCTGTCTCCGTAAAAAAATCGCTAAAACAACATAACGAGTGGAAAAGGGAGGTACTGCTTTCCCTCCCAAAGCATCTTAGTGCTTTAACTTTTTTGACTGGTTTCGTGATTCCCGATTTCTAGAGTTTTTGTTTATTTTTTAAGGAGTGTTGCTTGTTATTTGATTTGTCTTTGCTGATGGCGTTTGCCTTCTTTTCTCTATACTCATTTTTAATGCCCCATGGTATCATATATCATTATGATAACCATTTAGAAGGCCCGAAAATGTTTTGAAAATTTTGGTAGTAGATGTCCCTGCAAGCACTATTTACTCAGTAATATTTATTCTTGTTAAATAAATATGTTGGTCGTCGTGTATATCAAATAGTAAATAAAATGTGTGGTATTTCTAGATCGTTATCAAACGTTTTTTTTCTTTCTGTAATGTTTTTTTTTAAATATATTTTCTGATAATCAAACTATGCTTACAAGTTTAACTACAGAAGACGACTGATAAAAAAAAGTCTCTAGTTAGGATTCTCATAAATGAATGCTTTTGTTTATGTCTTAGTGTGCATGTAGCAGATCATTGAAGATCCCTGTAAAATTCATTTCAACTTATTTCGATACTTGGACATTTAATGCTTTAAGACCCTGTCACACTAGACCAAGACCATGAAGATCCCACTACGATCTATAAAAACATTTGATCGCGGTGAGATCGTGGTATGGTCGGCTTGAATATTCAATATTTCATAGTTTTCACGTTCATACCACGATCTTGCTGTGATCTTAATAAGATGCTGCTACAATTCCGCTACGATAGTAACAAGTTCTACGACTGACACCATATCTGTACGCTTCTACAAAGACCTTCCCGATCGCATTACGATCTCAATACGAGTCTACTACGATCGAACCACGACTCCACTTCGTTTCCTCTACGTTGTCACTGCGCTCTTTGTCCCTATAAATAGATTAACTTTCCCATAGTACACACCAGTTTCCTTGAGAAAACACGCCGCCAAAGGAATCACAAACACTTAGAGGTTGTGGTACTAAAAGTAGAGGTATCAACAGAATGAGGTCGTGCAGTCATCGTTGGTATGATGTAGTAGTATCGTAGTAAGGTCGTACTATGGACGACAGGCGCGTAGTAGCAGCATACTATTCCTCTTCCTCATCGTAGTATAATCGTATCAATATCGTAGTAGAAGCGTAAAAAAGACGTAGTGAAAAAGGAATAATCGCAGTGAAATTGTAGCAAGGTCGTAGCGAAATCTTTTCCATTGAGTTTCCGATTTTACCCCGTTTCCAATACTATGCTTCTACGCCCATCCCGATCTTATTACGTCCTTACTACGACCTTCCTACGCTTCTCTACAACTAGTTTTGGCCACGACTGCACTACGAATGTTTTGAGCATGTTCAAAGATGGTCGTGGACCTCTACGATCAGAAAGACCTTGACATGTCCTTACTACGACATTACCACGACCACCACGATATTACTACGACTTCCAAAATTTTTCATAATTTTTTAGGGTGTAGCAGGATCCTGGTCCTAGTGTTATTGGGATATTACATGACTATCATTGCTGCCACATCTAAGTATTCCACAAGCTCAGTGTTATATGAATAAGCGGTACGAAAACAGGTTAATTTGGTTGGCTTATTCTTCATTATGTAACGAAATTGCCACCTTTTCATTGGCTATTCGTGATGTCAATAATTACTTTCAAACGTCACAACGAACAGCGCTTTTCTGGATTTACCTACATCAGAAACGCTCAATTTAAACATTTTAAATCCACATAAAGCGCTTTATGAGTAAAAAGGACCTAAACAGAATAGCCAAATTCATCTTAAGTCATCCTTGCCTGAGGGTATGGAATCCTTAGTGTGTAAATAATTTCTTAACATGAAATCGTATATCGCTCGACATCAATCTTTTTATTTAATTTCAATATTAAAAATGAATTCGCCAATGGGTCGTTTATTATTAACTTGGAATAAAATTACTCACAATTTTCAATTTGATGTATCAAAGTAAGTCACCACTTTCCATGATATAATATAAATATAAAAATATCAATGACATTTTTAGTTTAAACATACTTCATTTTCTCTCGTCTTTTGATTATTAAGATAACAGGAGGTTTACATATCTTCTGCATTCTTTGCTGACACATCTACAGCTATTTACATATAAATCATTGATTAAATAAAGTAAGATGGTAAAATGTCTCTTGAAAGAAAACTTTTTCATAATCTTTTCATTCGCAGCTACAAATGTTGATCTATTGACATTTCCTAGATTTGTTTGTTTTTTCAAATAGTGATCATTTGGACAAGCGTTGGCTTGACTATGTTTTACCGAAGAAGAAATAAGACTATGAAAAATGTCAAAATTTTTGAGTGTCAACAAAGTTTTGGCGACCTTACAAGACCCTCATGGGTACTCAATGTCGTTAAACACTCCCAAGTAGTAGTAGTCGGCAAAATGACTTTTGTTTCAGTTTTTACCAATTACTATTATGATTTATTGAATATATATCTATATTGGAGTCATTTTCTTTTTCCAGTTTTCGGATTGTGTTCGCATCCATGCTACAGACAGAATACAGTTTATGGAAGAGTAAATGAAGATGGTAGTCCAATAATTCCTGGCCTTGTAAGAGAAAATAATAGAACCACCAGTGTTTTTACGTTGCATGGAAGACTTCTCTTTTACCAGGAATGTTATGCTAGATCTGGACTTTTCACGGTTATAAGGTATACATACACTTCTCATTTTTTTTGTACATATTATTCCAAATATCTATTTTCGGTCGTTGGACAGGAGATGCCTACCCATCCGGATCACATGAGTTCACATGAGGTGACTAACCCTTCTTTCATGTCATATTCATCCGCATTCCAAAGGTGATTTTACCTTGCTTGCACATTTTACAGCCTTGTGAATGGTCAATATATTAACTATAAGACTGTATCATAATGCATTTGTGTACGAGGCTGATTTTGTTATGTACCGTTTACTAGACTTTAAGCTCAAGTAGAAACAAATTCAGACGAAAAATAAGTCCAAATGCAAATTACAAATGTTTGTTCTTTTTTAACCAGATGACAACTGAAAAATAACAGGCAAGTGAATTTTGATGTGCTTTTAAATGAAATTGACACTAATTTTTCATAAAGTATATAAGGTAAAAACCAATGCTGAACTGTTTTCTAACAATATGAATGGTACAATGAATTTAATTGCGTCAGATGCGCATATCAACAGTTAATGTCTCCTCGGCAATACTCGTGGTGAAAATATTGGAAATGCAAAACCTGATTAAGGCGTGCAAGAGTTGATTAACCAAAAGGATCGAAGGGTATACTTTGGTCGGGATGTTGTCTCTTTAACACATTCCCCATTTCCATTCTCAATTTTATACTTCAACCTTGATTTTCAATCATCTTTCTGAAGATGTCCCTTAATCAAAATTTTACCCCTTTGTTTATCTTTTTATGTCTATTTTTCCGTTTGAATATATAAACAAAAACAATCATAAAGACAGCATGTTGGTACATACGTTTAAAACACTGTTACATTAAATTAATTTACACAAAAAATGTCCGAATTTGTCATTACGAAAACATATATGAACGTAAAACAAATTAATTGAAAATATGACGTTATATGCTTTGACTTTTCTATATGCTACACACTGATGTATGGCGTTTTTATTTATAGACGGAATAACGGTACACACGATTTATACTCATGCGGTAAAACTGTTGTCACAAATGGATTTCCAGACGTGATAGCGTCATTTGTCACAGATTTGAGTAAGACCTATTTTTTCCTTTTTCCTAAACACCAAGAAATTAAATAGATAACTTAAAAAAACTTGAATTAATGTCTTAAGACAGCATTTCAACTGCAAGATTGAACATGCACACATACATGTATTTGTTAATCATTGAGACCTCATTTGTCCGATCTGGACCTCATATAGAATTGAGAATTGAGTATATTATTGATAAGTGAAATGCAGTTCAGAATTAATCTTTCCCTTTACAATGAAACTTTATGTCGATTACTGTGTTGTATATATCTTTATTGCATAGGAGTGATGTTATTCAACATATGTAACATGTTATGTGTTCGTGAGCGTGAACATGGTTATTTTAATGCAAGAATATGCCAATGTGCAACAATAAACCGAAAGCTTATAGAGAAGGATGTTAACCACAGGTCATCGTAGGGCCTTCATCGTGAAACAAAAGAATATGTAACTGATAGCAAACTCTTAAGAATAAAAACATTTGCATAAATATTTTTTCCCAGTGTTACTATTAGTTTCTATAACCTATTAACTCACAGAAACATACCTCCTTTTATAGTGTACTATTCGTAAAGTATCTAGTCGAAAAAAAAACTGAATTAAGTAATAGTTATCTTTGCAGAATAATAACACTTTTGAATTAAAGCCATGTAATGAATGCATGCTTAGATGCATCCATTTTAATTAATTGTTATTGGCTTTAAACTAGCCGTCAGTAACTTTGAGTACTCTCAGATATGCACTTGGTGTATTTTTGTTCTTGGGTTTTATGAATACCCTGTCACGTCCGATCTTTGTATGTGTTAAATGTTTTTTCTGCTTCGTATCGATCTCATGAGTTGAGCCCTTTTTAACTGATTTTTAAAGTTGTTCTTATGTTGTACTGTTACTTCACTGTCTCAGGTTAGACGGAGGGTTTGGCGCCAACAAACTAGTTTATCCCCGCCTGTCTCAAGTCAAGAGCCTGTAATTCAGTGGTTGTTGTTTGTTGATGTATATCATATTTGTTTTTCGTTCATCGTTTTGTACATAAATTTAGGCCGTTAGGTTACTCGTTTGAATTGTTTTACTTTTGTCATTTCGGGACCTTTGATATCTGACTTTGAGGTATGGGTTTTGCTAATTGTTTTTACGGCCTTACTATAGTTGTAAACTTCTATGTCATTTGGTATTTGGTGTAGAGTTGTCTGGGGTTGGCGGCTAAGGTTAAGGTTAGGGTAAGGGGTGGGGTTAAGGCTAGGCTAGGGTTAGGGTTATGTCTCCCCCTACCCTTTTTTTTAGAAATAAGTTTACTTCATTCATGCTGAAACCTATTTACAGATAATATATCCTGGTGGCATTTAGAACCTTTTCCAAATTATCCGTCGAAATTCACCGTATGAAAATTGCATCCATTATATTCGATGATGACCGTACAGTACTCATATAAGATCACGTTTTTCACAAGAATCGCATTGTCATTTGTTTAACGATATTTCTGCTCTAGATATGCGTGAATACAAGATATTGATTCCTGTTGATGCCTAGTAGTTCAAATACAGAAATCATAGACAATTAAGCGTTGGTCATTGATTGTTATATACATGCCTTATAAGTCATATAATCAGAATTCTGATTATTTCAGAGATTTTTCAGAAACCTCCTACGATATGTGATGTATGTGATGGTAATTTCATTCCGACTATGATTCTTCGAAAAGGTAAGCGACTCGTATCGACTTTCTATCTCACGATACGCTATTCTTTTTGTCCTATTCATTACTTTCAGTCTCACCATTTATCATTACATTTGCAAAATACACCATTTCATATTAAACCATGTATTTGGAAAGTTTATCTATTTAATGGATGTACTATCCAATCTCATACGAAACAAATACCTGTTGTGACCAACGATTTCGCGTCGATTAGGAATAGAGCACAATGAAAATATATGCCATTTATATTTTTTTGCAACTTTCTGTTGAGATAGACGAAAAGTTATTGATTTTGACTATGAATAATTAACAATTAACTATTGCAAGATCGTTATATCAATTCGCATTTCTTTTCAGATGTCCAAGTCGGTAAGTTCTTTGTATATTTGATTTTATATGAAAAAAAAAAAAAATAGACACAGAATAGTCAAATATTATTCCCTGTTTTAAAAGTTTTATTATGAGAACTATATGATTTTGTTTATCAATTTGTATGAATTGAACACCTTCTGTAAATATAATTTTGAATTACTAAAGAATAATTTGACTACTAAGACTGTGAATTTCTACTCTATTGTGTTCGACTATTTGACTTTACTTTTTCCAAGTTTTGAACGTACCATCTATTTTCACATCTGTCTGTGTTTCAGGATGCAAGATTGGTAAGCATTTGAATTATTTACACGAGTTAACAAAATACGATTAACAATTAACGGTTTCTTCAATAAAGCATAAATTGACGGCCTTGCAAAATGAAAAATGCATAGTCCTATATGTAATACAGGACACTTAAAGTACAGTGAAGAATATCATTAAGCATAAAACTGCAAAACATAATTTATTATTACCAAATAAATATGAAGCATCACTAATCAAACTACGACATGAAATAATTCCGGTAGATGTATGCTTCATAAGAATCCGCATCTTATGATTGTTTGGAAACGATCGAGAGGCATACAAAATTTATTTGTATTTCCAAATAAGATGCAACATTCGAGACAGAATGTGAACCCGTAACAACGGCACACAAATTCATAGGAAAAGAAATGGTTTTATTTTATATAACACGTAATTTCATGTTTTCACCATAAACTATAATTATTGTAAGGGGTTGAAAAGGCGTTGATCATTTGCACATTATCGGAAGCTCTTCTTATAAAATGTGCTTTGGTCAACCCTTTTACATCCCTTCCAAACAATAGAGAAGCATTTAGTTCTTAAATAACAACTTTTTTAATAACAATGTTCAGAAATTGTCAACTCATGGTACAATCAGATTTTTCTTCTTGTCAGGCCAATATTCACACTATTTGTCAATTGTATGACTCTTGTATATTCAAATGAAATAATAAAATGAATTTGATTCCCGTATGTTTGTTTCAGTTAATATTCCAAATGGTAAGTTTAAGGACTTTTACTTTCTCAAATGAGTCATTGTGAACGAAAACGTATAATGTGAAAAAACGAAATATTTTCTATATGAAACAATCATCAATATCGTTGAAGTTGCTACATACAAAAAGAAACCAATCAACCCATCAATCCATCAATCAATCCATTTATCCATTCACCCATCCACCCATCCATTCCCGGAAATCATAACTTTAGCAAAATCGAAAAGAAAAGGTTTTAAACTAACGGTGTATGTAATACAAATTAGAGAAGCACAGTTAAATAATCAACCATTATGAAAAACAAATTAAAAGCACACCGTCAGAGGTTTTAACAAAACGGCCCACGTTTGTTTATTGTTCAAGAATCAGAGGAGATAACTGATATAGTGTAAATATATCTATCTTAATGGGAACACAACACAACAAAACAATAAGTGCTGGCAATTCCTATAGAATATGAACCCTAGAGTTTTTATTTTACTTCATGACAAAATATTATACGAGTTAATAAATGAACAGACATTTCATTGTAATGATGATATTATAATAGAAAAAAAAGGATATGTATGAATGTTTAAGTAATTATTGATGGAAAATCTTTGATTGTATCCTTTGAGATTTATTCATAAATATGAGGCGGTGTTATTTAGGGTAGATGTTACCTTTTCTATTATTGTCGACCATATACTGTATTTTTTACCTATTTATGTCTTTTCGTTTTTTTTTTTCTTTGGATTTTTGATGTCTGTATTCTGTTGTATCATTGTCTTTCATTAAGTGTATGTATTATTCTTTTCATAACATTTGCTTAATTCATAATATTCATCTAACAGTATAATTTATATAATTGATCTAATAATTTTTCTTTTAAAGTTAACTTTTATAGTTAGTCACAACTTCGGTGTTAACATGTATATCAATTATATGGTCATTTTTAAGTTTTATAAATTTACTGTTTGAAAAAAATATGAATTATTCTAAATACTAAATATTTTCTTATCCCAGGCAGATAACCTAGCCGTATTAGGTACAACTTTTTGGAATTTTGAGTCATCAATGCTCTTCATCTTTAGGCCTGGTAACTGATAACTATTAGCTTGTCGTAATGTTCTATTGTATTGTTTATTTGTGTGTTTCTCTGTCCTGTATGTTCTTCCATTTATTTGTATTGTAGTCCTGTCATGTAATGTTGTCATGTTAGTGTTATATTTAACATTGCCATTAAAGCGGGAGATTTGGCTAGCCACAAAACCAGGTTCAACGCACCTTTTTTTTCTTAAAATGTCCTGTACCAAGTCGGGAAAATGGTTATTGTTATCTTATAGTTCGTTTCTGTGTGTGTTGCATTTTAGTGTTTCTGTTGTGTCTTTGTTCTCCTCTTATCTTTGATGTGTTTCCCTCAGTTTTTGTTTGTAACCCGGATTTGTTTTTTTCTCAATCGATTTATGAATTTCGAACAGCAGTATACTACTGTTGCCTTTATCTTAAAGATCAACTACAATTTTGTTTTCCGGCAGTGTTCTGTAGCAGTTGCTTTTGATTTTGTGAAAACTTTCAATATTTCAAGCAGACACGATTATTAAAAGAAATGGCAAACATCTCTAAAATGGTGATTATCAAATAGTTCCGTTGACTGTTTCGAATCTTCCCTCTTTATACACCACTCTTAAAACCTTTTCATGAATGGTTGTCCAAACATGCCAAAGTAAAGCTACATTCAATCGATACAGAATGATACATGCTATACTTAAGTAATCAACCATTGCAATTACAAATGTATTTTGTAGATCCAGGCTGCAATATTCCAGCTGTTTGCCGTGTAGAAAACGAACATCAAGTTCGATGTTCTGGTTGTCTTGCAATTCCAGAAGAAGTTTTGGATGATGGTCTTTGCTGTGATTCGTAAACTTAACACATCTATGGAACAAAACATAAAAAAAATAAAAATAACCCCAAACAAACATATGTTTTTTTTTATTATTCATTATAATAAGTTAACGTTTCTTTTAATGTTTAATTTGATTTCTCTTTGAGCTCTTAGTACAAAATGTAGTATAAACATATCTAATTCATCATGTTTTACAATGGGTAAAGTGTTATACAGCAAAACAAGATTTCAATACCAAATCAGTGAAGTCAACTTTGAAGGAGCAATTTCAGTGACAACAATTTTTTATCAGGAATACATATTTAAAGGATTAAAAACATTCAAAACAACTATTTCAGACACGAAGATATATAATTTAAATACACCATCAAAGTACACAAGGCTTTGTTTAACTGTAAACAGGTCATACAAACACTTCGTCCATTCATACATTTTGAGAAGAATTTTAAATCTGGTTTATGGTATATGGTCGTTATTTGAGCTCCTGCAATCAACTGACATTCCTTGGAGTCTTTGTTGAAGTTGAAACAATAACAGACATCCAATGATGAACAAAGTATGGAGCCAAATACATTATTAATGGCTGTCGTTGATTTTAGCAATACCATGTTTGCATCCAGATTAGGCTTCTCACAAAAATATCCGTCAAACTAACCTAAAAGTATTCACCAATGAGAGTTTAAACCGAACTTTGCGGACATGTGCTATTAATTAACACCTTTTACTGGACGCTATTCATACTTAGGATGTTGTGATATACTATTTAAAGACTTTCAATACAATTATTTGTTGACGAAACGCACGTCTGTCATATAAATGATGAATTCATACCCGGAGAGCGGCATCATGAAGTCCAAAAGGGACGTCTAAGACTGACATAATTCCACTTCTTGCTCTTACATTTTCGTGTGGATACACGTAACTGTAAATTGCACCACTATATACCGTATAGCGGGTTATTTTCGCGGGTGTAAAAGTATACGAAAAATTTTGGCGGTTTTTATTTTGGCGGATTCTTTAATCCCAATTAAATATTTTGGCGAGTACTGAAATAGTTGCAGTTAAACAGTTGTAAAAATTGACAAACAAGGGTCTATTGGTATGGTTAAATGATTGTTTTACCTGCATGACGTCTTATTTATTGATTATGTTTTAATACAGTTAACCAATAGAATACCGGTACATAGTTATTTGTCACAGATGTACAAACTTCTTGTAAATGTTACGGTTGATAAGTTACGAAATTGACCGAACCTTTGATGTACTAATTAGATTATAAAATATCAAGAGTGACTTGCAACTCTTTTATAATTTGACACTTATTAATAAGGATAAAATACCTGACAGCGTACTTTACACACTTATATTATTATTCATTTTATTATGTAACCAATAAACTAATTAACACCTGACAGTCAATGAACAATGCCCTTTGGCATTTATGTTGTTTAAATTAACATAAATCGTTATTGATCTGTCAAACGGGAAAAAATAAATAGGTTACAAAACGTTTTAGCTATTAGAAAGTATCGAACGTATGCATAAATTTTTAGCGGAATTTATTTTTGCGATTTCCCCTGACCCACCAAAATAAGCGAAAATAAACACCCCGCGAAAATTACCCGCTATACGGTACTACATGTGTATTACTCGATTCATTTTACTTGACTGGGCAGGGTTTTGTAGTTAGTAAAATTGA